ATCCACTGCACAGACATGCATGGGGCTACCTACACGATTGATCTTCTCTTCATCCACGTACTTCTTGATGGCGGAATGGTACTGCTTCTGCCATCTGTAAAGGCAAGGTTTTGTGATTCCATGGCCTGCGTGAAGTTCTTTCTCGACAATAGCCATCTTGTAGTTGTTTTTCATGTACACAAGGAAATGTATGAATGGAATCCAGCTCTTAGGGCGAAGGAAAGAAACCGCAGGGATAGTGACCGCCTTCTTGAAGTGTGTTTGGTTCCGTTTTTTTCGCAAATCCATTTGAGCTCGTCACCAGACCTGCTTTGAATCAAAATGCACCTGCTCTTGCATGCAGAACATCGGTGTGTCCGAACAAGCTTGTAGTGCATGAACACACACAACGCCCGCAAAGCTGGCGAATCCACCAAAGTTCCTGTGTCCAATGCCTTGTGCTGAATATGGGATTGAAAAGCTGAGCTAGACTCGAAGAACTCGTCCTTGATACCTCTCCTAAAGCTATCCAGGTCCATGGTGTGAAACCTGCGAACAAAGGGAGGAGAACACGGGGTCTCCAGCCAGCGGCTGCCTGCCGCATACAGACAGACATACATATGTGTATACATACACATACATAGATACACAGATGTATGTATACATACAGGACCGACAAAAAACTCTTAAAGATACTATACCCATATATATATATATATTTGTGCGTGTGTATGTATGTGTATGTGTATATATGTATATATATATATACATATATATATATATTAATATTAATATCTTAAGATATGTATATATATATATATGTGTGTGTGTTTCTCTGTGTGTGTTGGGGGGGGGGAGGTTGTCCGCATTCGCTCGCACTTTTTGGGCTTGCTCCAGACATGCAGCTAAAGGAGATAGCTCATGCTGAAACCGGAGGCCACTTGCACTGCTTAATGCGCTGAGCCCTCGCAGGCACTTAGCAGGCACTGGCAGTCAGCCAACACTCGGGATGTCATGGTAGTTGTGGAAGATGCGCCTGAAGACTTGCAAGGTTGAATACCAGCCCGACTGCAGAAATGGAAACATGGCAGTCGCACTCTCCCAGTTTGCCGCCCGTGACTTCTTTCAATTTTGCCTGCCATCACAGCAATGTGGTTCTTATCAATGCCTGCAGAAACCACATCATGTTGCAACGTGACTTCCACCTCAAATTGCTTGTATGCCTCGCTGGATGCTAGGATGTCCTCTGCAGAGCTGCTGCATCAAAAGATTTATATCACAAGGGCTGACACTTCGTCGAACAGAGACTGTTTGCTACAAGCCCTGTGCTCAACACCGGAATGGCAGACATGCACTTTGCAGCATTTTGCAGCACAACCGCGGCGAGGCACGCCCATCCCCCGCAGATGCTAGCAGGCAAGCTCACAAATCCAGTTTCCAGCCCCGAAGAGCTCTCCTCACCAGCATAGGGGTCGCTGCCCAGCTTTTCACTATCAGGCCTGCATGATTCACAGACAGGATGACATCCACATTGAGGTACTGCGAAGATAAACTGCTGCAGGCTCTCGCCCAGGCAGAGGTCTAAGGTTGAAGTATGACGTCCGCTGCTTGTTACAATTCGGAGTCACACAATCTTAATCTGGAAGGACCAAGCAAGCAAGTACGCATATTGTGAGTATGTAACCCGGTTATACTGAGGCACTAAGACCGAACCCTGGACGGTTTCAAGAGCGAAGCAAAAGAACCAGGAGAAAAGCCACCAACCGACAAGCGCAGAGGAACACACACAGACACAAAAAAACGCAAAAGGCGACGGGCGGAAACTCAACCAATATGCAGAAACTAGATGACCAGCGAAAAACATAACAGCAGAACGCAGGTGCGGAACAAAGAACCAAACGACAGGACAAAACACCACACAAGGCAGCCACACACAGACACGAACACACACACACACACACACACGCGCACGCACGCACGCAGGCACGCACGCACACACGCACACACACACACACACACCCAACTACACCAAGAAGGCATCGAAGCCAAAAAGCAAAACGCCACAAGGAGCCAGGAAGCCGGGGCGCTGCTTGTGCAGAGCTTGCGAGAACACAGCACAGCATGCAAATGCTGCTCTTTGGCAGAGTCAGATAAAGAACCTCCCACTGATCCCAACGCAACAACTTTTTCCATACCAGATTTGTGAAAGTGCTGATGCATCTGTGGAAGAAGGATCAAGTCGTGGATGGAACACGAGGATCTTACCTCCACTTGAGCAACATGAGGAATATGCCACTGTGCGGACCTCTAGAATACCAATTGCTCGTACTCGCGCTAACAGCTTTGGAGTCACACAGGCGGCAGCCTCAACCACATGCGTGTTAGCTTCCCACCCTTCTCCTCGTACAGGACCTTGCTTCGAGAGTCTCTCGAGGCATGGAGGTTCGCAGGACCGGGCGAAGTTGCTGTAAGGCCGAACTCCGTAGATACTCTACCTGCTTGCACTCGCCTTCCACTACATGAACACCAGGATACACCAAGCATTTCGACGCGCCAGCAGAGTTTGGGGCTTCCTATCCAAGAATGAGAAGCCAGCTGGCAATGAAGACAATGTGCGAATCTCCATAAGCAGCTGGCATGCCAATGTGCATTTGAAAACTGTGTGAGCACGAACCTTTGAAAACCTCACATGTGGTCCAGCCTTTCAGGGCGAGAACCAGATTGGTATCATGCGGTGGCTAATTTCGCGAGCGTTGCCGTGTTCTTTGAAGGTGCACCTATTTTATTTTTCAAGCTCAGCCACATTGACATGCTACCAGAAAGATTAACATTCGTATAAACGGCGGCTGGCAACCTCCTCTCGAATTAAATGATGGACTTGAGTGAACCTGCGACGTTCCGAACATGCCGGAAAGCCCTGTCAGAATTGCATCTGCAATGAATGCTCCCCTCATTTCACTGTGCTCCCAACTTGTCTCAACATGTTGTGCAACTTCGGCCGTGCTTACTAGACTCTTACTAGACAATGAAGAAGCTAACGTGTTGCGTCGGGCAGTGCAAACCCTGCATCGGCTAGTTATGTTTCGTGAGGCTGCTGCTCACACAGTGCATGGACACAAGACTATGTCTGCTTCGCAGCTTCCATATCATACGGTCCACAGCTGACAGCTGGAACAGCGATACCTGGCTGAGGCCAATGCAATCAAGTGTTCTGTTCGTGGCTCACGTACACCCAGCTTGCCATCCTAAACATGGCACAGCACGCCAAAAGCATCTCGTTCTGACAGCATCACTATGCCGAACTTTCAGTGCATCAGTCGTATCGCATGCTCAACACCTCTCAATCACTGAGCTCTAAGCAGGGGGTGTGCCAGGCATGGCCGTGACCAGGCTCTCATGCATCTCGTAGTCAATGCAATACGTTGGACCTCCGTGGGCTGCTATGGAAGGCTTAGACCATGCGACTCTGCAGAGGACCTGATGAATCGAAGTAGAATCGCTTCAAGCATGACCTCAGAAGCTTGTGCCAGGTGATGCTGCGCACGTGTCGTACTGCCTTGCGCACCGAGACCCCCCATGCCAGGGGCACACCCAATGCTTTGGGTGTAAGCTGGCAGTCAGCAGGATCCAAACCTCTGTCCCGAAACACATCTGCAACCTTCTGCAACCCTCCAATTCGTTTAAGAGCCTGCTGGTTTGCATGCGTGCTGGCTTGCTTGCTTGTCTGCTGCAGGCTCAAGACACAGACGGGCGTGGGCGTCGAGCCACTGCAACCTGATACAATCTGCTTGGCAAAATCCCTGCTTGACTTTTGGACGTCATGGTTTTCATGCCGTGCGAGCACAGCGATTCAGCAACATGTCCGTCACGATGTCCATGCAATGCCGCCCTTGCGAGTAACCTGACCGCCGGTATCGGAGTCTGTCGAGACATGGAGGTTGGAGTGTTGCGGCTTCCAGCTTGATGCACTGCTTGGCCCCCAAAGCAACACCGATGCTCGTGCCTCGCTTCGAGCTTTCTCGACACGCATCGACTTGAAATGTGGTCGGTGGTCGGTTCATGAGTCGATGTGTCACGATGTGCGCCAACACACGCCACTGTTGCGATTCTGTGGTCCGCGTCACAAGTGGATGTTTGTTCCCACATCTCCCGGACTGCGGATTGCGAACATGATCTTTTCTGGAAGCTCACGCAGGGCCGCCTGCGGTGACCTGCGGAAATGCTGGAATCAAACGAAATCTGCTCTCACTATCTGTCTCTCTATCCACCTCTCGACATGCCCAAACTCTTCTACTGCGACAGCAACAACAACAGCATTTGGCACCACTACCACTACCACTACCACTACCACAACCACTACCACTACCACTACCACTACTACTACCACTACCACGACCACTACCACTACCACTACCACTACCACTACCACTACCACTACCACTACCACTACCA